GTGGAAGAAGGGACGGTAGATATGCAGAAGATCCATACCAAAGACAACATAGCAGATTTCATGACGAAGGCGATCAACACTGATAAATTTACATGGTGTCGATCCTCTTGTGGCCTGTCAGAGACGTAAGCAACATGATGGTACAAGGTAGAAAGAATGGTGTGAAGATATGATTGTTCCAATCAAATCTTCAAGTGGGAGATTGTTGAAATTTAACCAATTATTTGGTGCATTAATGCACCAAATGTGCAAGTGTGCAAGTGGAATTGTGGAGTCAATAAAGTAGATGCAAATTGTTGAAATAATAAAGACATAACTACCAAATTGAGTCCCTAAACTTTAGGGTATTTATAAGATTAGTCCTCAAGTTTCAACTATAAATACCCTAGCTCATTTAGCTTCAAAACCATCCCAAAGCATTCTAGCTTTCTTCCAATACTAGAGAGAATTTAGAGAGTTTCTTGAGAGTTGTTTTCTCCTTTTTTTTATCAAGAGAGAATTATCATTGTTTTCTCCTTGGTAGATCGAGAGAAGTTGTAATTCCTATTTTCTCATAGTGAAATTCTTCTACCGTTGCCCGTGGTTTTTACCCTATTTTATTTAGGAGTTTTCCACGTAAATTTTGTGTCTCTTTTTATCATCATTTTTATTTTCTCAAATTATCAGTTGCGATTTTGCTCTATCCGATAGCCGTCTTCCGCAACAGAAATATCGATTTTTTTTTAATTTCGAGTTATTCGAGTCAACTCGAATTATCAATTCGGTTTTCGAGTTCGAGTTACTCGAAAAACAAAAATTTTGACAGTTTTACGATTTAGTCCCAGATTTCATTATTTCTTCAATTCTCCTTCATTTTAAGTCCATTTTTTACCAAATTTGAACAACATGCTCATAAATCATCGTAAAATATATATGTACTTTTCATTTCTCTTTTTGATAACAAATTTTTATTTTTCAATTTAATCTCTCAAAGTTTCATAATTTCCTTATTTCTTTAATTCATCCTTTATTTAAGTCAATTTTTATCAAATTTGAACCGCATGCTCAACTACCACAATAGAATATATGTAACTTCAATTCTTATTTTTTACTAAAAATGTACTCTCTTTTTATTTAGTTCCTTAACTTTGAATTTTACTCAATTTGGTCTTTTGACTATAATTGTTTGCAAATTATTTCCTCTCATCAATTATTTGTCTCCTTTATACTCTTATCAATATTTTACCCTCAAAATACTTTCTCTAAAATATAATATTATGAATATATTTTATAATTTTAGATTTTATTTGATATATTAAATAACATTATAATGTGAAAATAATATATCTATATATATATATTTCTTATATAGTTTGAGAAAGTAAAAATATTGGAACAAATCCTTTTTATAATACTCGAATTTAATAAACTCGGCTCGATTCGAAAAAATTTTAAGTTAAGTTCGAGTTGTAAAATACGACTCGTCAACTCAAATAACTCAATTTTTTTTGATTTGACTCAACTCGACTCGATCGAATGCTCAGTCCTACCCATCGGCCATTACAACTCTTTGAAGCCGACACTAGTGAAGTATTTCATTCCAAACACTTTTAACAAATCTAAATCAGAGAATAAGCGATCCCTATTATTCATTTACCTTTGACACATCAAACATATATCATCAAGATTCATTATACTCTATCTTGGCAAACATAGATATAAAATTTTATATTAAAGAAATAAATTTTTTAATTTTTTAAAAAATATAAATTTATAAAATTTAACAAAACAAAAATATATAATCAATTAATCTAAATGATTATTTAAAATTTTTAAGAAGGGTCCTAACCATCCTTCAATCCATCCTGTATCTGATGAGCCTATCTTTAGTAGGCGATTTATTTAACATATACATACATGTAACAAAAGATATTTTGGGATATGCTTGGGAACCAAACTATCACCTGTCACCCAAATTTCGGTTCTTCACTCGTACCCGCATTCCAAACTCTGGTAGCTGTCAGATTACGATCAACAGCAGGTTATTGGAATATGCATTCTGGAATATACATTCTGGAATATACATTTGCATTCTAGAATATGCATTGTTAACGTGTAATGTGTGCATGCACTGTTAATGTGTGCATTGAGTGTGTGTGCGTGAGTTGTTATGGTTGTTAAGGATAGGGACGTTTTGGATTCTGTTATGAATGTTGTTATAGGAAGCTAAGAGATTGAGTAAGTTTGAAGTCATAGCTGCTATATAAGCTAGTTGTGATGTAGTTGCACGTGAAGCATAATAGTAATATCAGATGTTATTCATTTGATCTTAATTCTCAACATGGTATCAGTTGCTAAAGATCCTGAAGCCTTTCTTCCGCCGCACCTTTCTTTCGCCACTGTTATCTCCATTACCTTTTTTCAAGTTGTTTTTCTTCATCCGTGTTTTTCTTCATCTTCTGCTCTTCATTGAATGATGTTGCTGTCATCGCTAGCACCACCTATTTCTTCTTCTTTTTCTGCCGCAAGTATCGCATCATGAGGTGATTGTCTCTTTTATCACCAGTTTTTCTTTAACATCAGTATTGAAGAATTTTGAGTTAAACAATGATGGCTCTGTCGTGCATTTATCATTTATGATCTTATTTGGAATCATCTACTACCTGTTCGACGTTTTGTTTGTGAGAGTTTGGTAGTGACAATGTTTTCTCCCGCTGCTTGGAATTCGTTGGTGCTATCGTGACTGTTTCCAGCGCTGTTAATGATTGTATCCACCTGCTATTCTCTTGCCGCTCTTGTTGATGATGCCTTTATCATCACTGTTACAAAATTATTCTCAAATATCTTGTCTGTTTTTCGGGTTCATCGGATCTCTAATTGTTTGTTATCTTCATCGATTCACCAGTCAAACTTCCTCTATTTCATATCAGAATCTCATATCTGAATCTGGTTTCTTGATGCCAGTTGGTTGTTCATTGGCAGTGTTACAAATTTGATGGTTTGCTACGTCAGAGTTTCATCGTCATCGCTTCATGTTTTCTGGCGACTGTTGCAATTCTACAATGAGATATGTTGAGTTTGTTTTTCAGGTTCTATCTAAATGCATGCTGCCTCCTCTATCATTCGTGTTTGATTACTGATTCATGTCTCAGTCACTATCATTTCTTAGTTTTAGATGGTAATTGATTTTGGAATATCAGTTGTTGTCTGTCTACTGCTTATGCTTTATTGAGATTAGTTTTGTGTTGGTGATTCAAAGTGGTTAATCAAATCTGGTTTGGTGATTGGATTCTTGCATTTGGGACGTTATTCAAGTAAGAAATCAAAGTTAGCGTGAATTTGAGCAGAGTAGCAACCTGTCACATGTGAGAATTCTGATGTAGTGATTTAGTTGTTGCATAGACGTGCATACTCCTCCTTCTGAGTCTTGTTCTATTGACTTTTACTGAATTGGTTACTGCTGATGGTTGGCCGAATACTTGTTCATTGGTATAAGCGAGTTAATTTGGTTGAGAACAATGGTATTGTTTTGGTGATCTCTTCAATAGTCATGGTCTGTTTAAAAACAACTTATTGTTGTGGTATCTTTTCATCATTTGTTACTTTTTCTCCAAAGAAATCATGGGACTTGAAAGCTTCACAGAAAATCTAAAGGCACATTGGGTAAAAGGATGAAGGAAGAAAATAAAGGTGAATAAAGTAGAACGAAGGGAAGCATCGCACTTTTGATTCTCGTCTATAGTAGAACGAAGGGAGGCATCACACTTTCGATTCAAGAACGGAAGGAAGCATCGCACTTTCGATTCAATTCGAACGGAATGAAGCATCGCACTTTCGATTCAACTAGAACGGATGATTTACTAAATCATTGTCCAAATATTCGTTTGAGCAATTTCGACCCAAAGTGCAGATTTTCTCATTTACTCAAGGAGAAGGAAAAGAGTATGGAGAATATTGGAATATGCATTATGGAATATACATTCTGGAATATACATTTGCATTCTAGAATATGCATTGTTAACGTGTAATGTGTGAATGCACTGTTAATGTGTGCATTGAGTGTGTGTGTGTGAGTTGTTATGATTGTTAAGGATAGGGACGTTTTGGATTCTGTTATGAATGTTGTTATAGGAAGCTAAGAGATTGAGTAAGTTTGAAGTCATAGCTGCTACATAAGCTGGTTGTGATGTAGTTGCACGTGAAGCATAATAGTAATATCAGATGTTATTCATTTGATCTTAATTCTCAACACAGGTCAAGTGTGAACCAAAATAGTTGCTGCAACACCTCTCGTCTTCAATATCTTCCTCCAGAAACGGCTAGAACTACTATGCAGGCTTTATTCCGTGGTATCCACGGTGAACCTCGATTAGCCACGAGATTCATGATTGTTTACACCAATAGTGATGCAAATTAAATGTAACTGATTGGATCAATTCTAACCTTCCTGCAAAACTAAGATGTCTAATACCCAATTAGAGCTTCTTTAGTGGATAACAGTCCTTTTCAGTCAATCTTTTTGACACCAGGGGCAACCCTAAGTACCTAACTGGAAGCTTGCCTAACTTTAAGCTAGCTATAAGTTGTATTGTATCCTCTTCAAATCGTCTTGTGAGGTACCAAAAGCTAAAATATTAAATTGTAGGATTACGTGTCCCATTTCCTTTTATGAAACAAGTCAGGATAAGAGTAGGAACACACCCACCGCCCCTCTCCTCTGCCTTCTTCAACAAGTTAAAAAAAAAGAGAGAAAAGGACAAGTAATCATTAAGTTTTGGAATAAAAAGTCTACAAATTTAAAACAATACAACCGATATACAAATATGTGAAATGAATTTGTCAAAAAATACGAATTAAAAATCCTTGTTGTAGTTGGATTTGGAGTCAATACGGACGTTCGATTAGGAACATTGACTTTCGTTTAGAGCAGACAAGTCATTCGAGCTCGCTCGAAAACCCGCGCCATCGGCCGATATAAACTCCACAATAGTATAAATTAAGCGCGGAGGAAAAAAGGTTAACGCACTGGTGAAGCGATTCGGCAGTCGGAAATAATTCACGATGAATACTTTAAGCCGACACAGATCTCCCCTTGCTTTTCCTTTGAATAAACCCCATTGTCGCATTGCCCTCAAAAATCATCACCAGGTATGAACGAGACTTTCGACTTGAATCGAAAAGTCAAAAGGAATGAAGTTATGTTTAAGTTTATCTCCTTCCATAAAATTCTGCGTCCTACTTGCAGAAAGAAAAGTCGAAACATCTTCGCAAGCGCATGAAGAGGCTGCGATCGGAGATGGAAGAAATAAGTCAAGAGCAGGAACAGATCAAAAAGGGGCAAAGACAAGTGAGGGAAAATTTGAAGCCTTGGAAATGGAATGCGAACTGCTTCGGAGGGAGACTAACATCATAATGCAGAAGAGTATGAGCACTCAACTCCGCCTTGCTTTCATGTTCCAGATTCTGAAAGCAAGAGAAAACCAGGATTTAGACCATGCCACCCAACTCACTTCAGCTCTCGGTTGTTTTCGATATCCATTGCTATATAAAGATCATCATTGATTTTGCTAATGCCTCTACTGACATTTCTTCTTCCTTTGTTATTTATCACAGGGAGCTGATAGCCAGAGAGAATCGGAATGAAGCAGATGGCTGAACACTTTTTATCAAATGAACATGAATAAGATCTTGTTTCCTATAACGTGTCTGTGTTTTGTGCCTTGTTTACAGGTGGCGTTTGGTTCATCGTTTTACGTTCCTTGTGCTCGTCAGTGTGGTCAAGATCAAGACACATAATTTTAGGTTAGAAATAAACTTTTAAAATTAAAAAAAAATTGAATTCATAAAAATTTTAAAAGTAAGAATAGATTTTTAATATAAAATATAATTCTAAATTTATAAGAAATAATTGTTCCTACCGTCTATTCGACCTATGTCCGATCAAGATTGATCTGCTTACTTATTTGAGTGGTTTGTTGTTGTTGTTGTGAGTTTTTCTATTGAGATTCCAATAATTTCCAATGTATTACGTATTTAACTGTTGTTCATCATGTACTATTAGAAATTTTTTGGACTGGGTAAGGTTACGTTCAAGTTTATAATAGATGAATCAAGGGTAAACTACATAAATAACCATATAACTAAGGGTCGGGTCGGGTCGCGAAATGACTACTATTTTTAAATTTGTATTAATATGACAACTGGACTATTTAAATGATTTAATATAGCCACCTGTCGTTAACATTTAACGTAAGTATTTATAGGGTAGTTAACAAAATTGATATAATTAGGGCGCGAGTCCTTGTAAAGTTACGTATTCGTGGCGATGCACCCTTCTTTGTTTCCTTTCATTTTAGTCATTATCTGTATATGATTTGTTTCCTTGAATTTTCATTTAATGCAATTTGATATTGATTATGTTTTTAATTTGTTTAATGCCTTAATTTGAGCATTAACTTTAAAATCTTTTATTCTAATCATGTATTAAATCTATAGATTATAGTTAATATTTTTTTATATATTTAGGAATCAAATAAAATACTTTTTTATATATTATATATTATAGTTAATAATAAAAATAAAAATAGACAAGTGAGAACTTAAATCTAGGCCAATAGAGAATATAATAACACTTAAATTGCTAAAAAAATTAATATATTATTTATAATCAATTTAAGATTTTAATATTTTTAAATTAAATTTGCACAAACCAACTTACCTCAATCATTGTTGTTCCTAGAGGTCATGGGTTCGAGCACCAGCGACTACAGAGGGTGATTTAACGTTCAATATCAAATGGATAATATTTAGAACAAATACTACTTTGTAATCACCTTAGTTTAATAAAAAATTATTTTATATTTATTTATTAATTATTATATATATGAAATTATATTTAAAATTAAATTAAAAATTTATTTAACATACATGAATAGGGATGGACATGGGTCAGGTCCGGTTAAATTTTTGGTCCACCCGACTTGACCCAAAAATTATAAATCATCCACCCAACTCAAACCCGACCCGATATTTTGAGATAAAATTCGAACCTGACTCGAACCAAAATAATATATTTATTTAAATACATTATTTTTATTCAATAAAAATAAGAATTTAATTGAAAGAAAATAATATATAGAGGGGCATTATTGTAATTATCCTTAAATATATAAGGTAAAATTATAATTTTTTCGGGTTAGGTCGGATCGAGTATTTTTCACCCTAAACCCGAACCTAACCCAACCTGAACATAACCTTAAAAAATCCGACCTGAACCCATTTTTTTAAAAAAAAAACCTACCCGATCGAATCTGGTTATGTCAGAACCCATTGGGTTTGTGTCCCATGTCTATCCCTATACCCAAACTCATGAGCACAATTTAAAATCAAAAGATAAATTTATGATTTGAATCTTAAATATTTTTTCTAATGATTATAATTTGAATATTAAATTATATATATATATATATAATCATTAAAAAATGCATATGAAAACAATAAATTTAGTTTAAAAATATTAAAAAAATATTAAATCAATTATAAATAAACTATTAGATTTTTTAGTGATTTAAGTGTTATCATATTTTCAATTGATTTAGATGTAAGTTTTCATCTATTCGTTTTTATTTTTTTATCATTAACAATAATATATATATATATATATATATATAATTCTGCCTAAACCTAAACAAGTTATGTAATATATATATTATCTCAATAAAAAGTGTGAGAATTAAAAATTTATCAAAACTCATATTCATTTATTTTCACTTCAATTCAAATGGTGACATGTGTCACCTTTTGATTGGATTGAATTTTTTTAAATTAATTAAATTGAATTATACAAAAGGTGAAATGTGTCACAATTTGATTGGAGAAATTAATTTATTAAATTAAATTGAAATTAGGACCTAATTAAAAGTTAAGAATTCAAGTTAATCTTGGTGATCAAATTGATTAATTCTAAAATCTAGGGGATTTAATCTATAAATTTAATACATGGCTAGAATAAAAGATTTTAAAGAGGCTTCATACAAATTAAAAATAGAATCAGGATCGAATTGCATTAAATAAAAATCTAAGGAAACAAATCATATACAAGTAGTGGCCAAAATGGAAGAAAACAAAGCAGGGTGCCAGCGTCATAAATACGTAACTTTATAAGGACTCATGCCCTAATTATATCAATTTTATTAACTTCCACATAAACACTTCTATTAAATGTTAACAACAGCGACTATATTGAAGCCATTTAAATAGTTCAGTAGTTATATTGGCGCAAATTTGAAAATGGTGGTCATTCCGTGACCCGACCCTTATTATGTGGTCAATTATGTAGCTTATCCATTAATCAAATATGCATGTATTGAATGGTAGTTTACCCCCAAAGTCGTCGTCCTTTGCTACTCTAAAAATATCATTTCTTTATAATTGAAGTTGTTTATTTTCCATTTGTCAAATTTGTTATATAAATATTAACATCAAGAAAATGTTTAATTATTATGAGTTTTAAGATATATAGATTCTCGTAATATAAATAAAAACTAGTATAAATTTAAATTTCAAGTTAAAAAGATGAATAAAAACTTAATTGAAATACTACATCTTCAATATGATATATATATATATATATATATTAGAGATTAAATTATATGAATGATAAAGTTATTATGTGAAATTATTTATTACTAAATCGTGTATTAAACTATAAAGAAAAATAAAATTTTTACTAAACATAACATTAGGCCATTACTTAGCTTCATTATAATATGAAAATTATAAACGTGTATGTTAAATGGTAGTTTTTTTGGGGTGTGTTTGGGGGGGGGGTTGCTTTGGATCAATGGCACAATCCTTACTGATTAATGCCTCTTTAAGTACACTAGTTTGAATCTAATCAGACTCAACTTTTGATTCTTTTTGATGCCCAATTAATGAGCTTTCCGAACAATATTCTTTTAAACAGTTTAAGTCATACAATACAAGAAACTTTTGACATCATTTTAAAGGTTGAGATACAAAGTCATCAGATTAAAACCATATAAAAGTACCTCAGAAACATACTACTTAACTGTTATGAGTTTTTTTCTTCTTCTAAACAAAGCAGTTTTATTAGGGGAGGATAAATTACATCCGATTCGATTGTACGCTTCATTAAAAATCTCCCTACATATAATCTTAATGTCTTTCTTACATGTGAACAATAAGTGAGTAATTATTTAAAAATTATTTTAGAATAAATGAATCTTATCTACCAATGTACATGTTTCACGTTAACACTGTAAAATAACGTGGACACTTTTAGTCGCTCTCAGATTCCAAATTATGAAAATCCTTTTCTAAAAGAAATACTTTTTTTTTTGGCGTAACGTGGCAGTGCGTTTTCCATGCATTTTCCTTGACGCATCACTTACCTCCAACAATATTGGCGTGACTAAGATGGAATTAGCAGTGCCTCGCATGATTATCGGCATGACTCGTAACATCGTCTGTTTTTTTGTAGAATTTGGTTAAAATTATGATGTGAATTGTCATAATAAATCATCACACGATTTGACTTCAACGATTAATTTCAATTATTATGGAGTATGTTTTCTATTTTCTAAAAGAAATAATTTATTTAGAGAATATAAAGAAAACACGTTCACATCATTAATGCTTGATTCAGACAGTTGTAATTTAGACCAAGGATTATTTGTGAAGTTTCTACAATATTAAAAAAAGTTGAATAAGAGAATAATCATAGCAAATTGATCGCTAGAATGTGCGAATATTAGACAGAAATCGCTCGACCAATCGCGCGATTATTTTCTCTTTTTTATTGTTTTCCCCAAAAGATATTGTTTCAAGGAAAACTTAATTTATATTCCTTATTTTAAATGTATGTTAAAATGTGGATATACAGTTATGAGCGAGGAAGTTCAATTCATGTCAAATTTTAAATTTTATTTTCCATACTAATGAAGAATAGGAAACTTAAATTGAGTAGATTTCTTTCTATTTTGTAAAAATGAAGTATAACCCTATAAATATATAAGGAATTAGGATTTGAAAGTAAGTTCGTTAAATCTTAAATCACGTTTACATGGGAAAAAATTTATATTCTTTTTCGCTATTGTAAATTTTTCCTCATTTGCCTGTGATTTTTTACATATACTTTATATCTCAAAAATTAATTTTTTCTTTTGCAATAAAACTAATTTTTATTAAAATAAACGTAAGGTACAATAAAGACAACATGAAGATGCAAAGGTGTGAAAAAAGATAAAACCAAAACCTTCCCTTAAATACATGCTTCATCTTTCACAAAAACATAGCAATTATCTATAACCTCTCTGTCTCTGTTTGAACCTAGATGCAAAATTGATGTAGGCATAGAGATTGATAGAACCAATCTGATAGATTGTTTCGCGAATGGTTTTAAATGCATCGATAATTATACGAGACCGTAAAACTTTTTTTTATAGGGAGATGGGCTGTGATGAATACAACACGAAATGTCAAATTATCATAACGATAGTAAAAATCGTATTATAAAAGTAGATAAAAATCAACACTTTAAGAATATGAGAAAATATGAGAAAAGGAAGATCAAAATAGGGAACATGTCAAGATCGATCCACACTGATTTAATTTAATAGCACACATTACACTCCCAGCTTCATGTATTAGCTTAATGATAAATAGCTTGGTTAAAGTACAAGATGAGCTGAGCTACATTTGTAGCATAAACAATACTATATAGCTGTTAGAC